GCGCCCCTATGCTGCAGAAGTTATCTGGTTGATGTGTGCTTCCGGAGATGTGCTTGGTGTTATACTCACCCCAAGATCTTTCTCCTTGAGCGAGGCTTGCAGTCTTTGGCCATCTAGCCGATACTCTGTCTGCGGTTTTCTTTGCCCTTCCCGATCTTCATGACTTTGCATTTGGCGGGGTTAAATTTGAGAAGCCAGTTGCTGGACCAGGTGTCCAGCCCGTCCAGGTCTCTTTGAAGTCCTGCCTGATCCTCATCTGATTTAATTCTCCTCATTAACTTCATATCATCTGCAAACAGGAACACTTCTGAGTCTACCCCTTCCATCATGTCATTCTCATATACCAAAAATAGCACTGGTCCTAGGACCGACCCCTGTGGGACCCCGCTCGTCACAGGTGCCCACTGTGATACCTCATCACGTACCATGACTTGTTGTTGCCTCCCTGTCAGGTATTCTCTGATCCATTGCAGTGCCCTTCCTGTTGTACGCACCTGATCCTGTAGCTTCTGCACTAATCTCTCGTGAGGAACTGTGTCAAAGGCCTTCTTGCAGTCCAAGAAGATGCAATCAATCCACCCCTCTCTCTCTCTCTCATGTCTTCTGTTACTTTATCATAAAACTCCAGAAGGTTTGTGACACAGGATTTGCCTTCCATAAATCCGTGCTGGTTGGCCTTTATACTCTTGTTCCGTTGCAGGTGCTCCACCACTCTCCTGATAATCTTCTCCATGACTTTGCATACTATACACGTCAATGACACTGGTCTATAGTGCCTCTTTTCTGTCTCCTTTTTTAACCCTTTCTGGGTTTCAGACGTACTAGTACGGCTTACGCATTAGGGTTTTGAAGTACTAGTACGCCTAAATTCTAGCACCCTCAAATCTACTGAGAAAAAGCTGGTAGGCCTACATATGAAAGAATGGGTCTATGTGGTCAGTGTGCGCAGTATAAAAAAAAATCCTGCAGCACACAGTGCATAATGAGAAAAAAAAACTTTGACCATGTTTTTGGATTAAAACAGCGACTTTGCACTGTATTTTCGTATGGTATTTATTGTTGTATTCTAGTTTTCCTGGTCTCATTCTATAGAATGGAAGACATATTACGGAAATTGAGATGATTTTGACTGATTTTACAATGAAAAGTACCTTGAAATTGAGCTCAAATAGCAGAAATGTTTGATTTTTACCAAAGTTCAAAAGTAAACAAATCATGCAAGCGTCCAATACACGTCAACTGGTGAGTCTGATATTCTTTCACAAGTGCACCGATATTATTTATACCATTTTTTACACTAATGCAGTAGTCTGCATAGCAGTAAATCTTCTATTTTTTTTGTGACAATAAAAATTCAAAGTGGAAAGCAAAAGAATGTAAGAGGGGCGTTGGGACGTGACTAATGAACAGAGGAAATGTCATTTTAGTACCAGGAATGTCTTTCTTGTTTATTCTGGACCCTATTTGGAAATTGGCATCTTTTGAAATTTGTGTGAAATTGGCAAAATTGCTAAATTCTGACCACTGTATTGGATAGTTGAAATCGGTAAATGGGTGGTTTCGTGCACTCATTCAATAGAAAAAATGGAGTTCTAGCAAAATATTCATGATTTTTGTCGACTAGTACAGTGGAATTGGCTGAAAATGGGGCTCAAACTGGGTAAAATCGCCGATGCGTAAACATCGTCGAGACCGCTAACTTCGCGAGAGCATAATTCCGTAAGTTGTCCATCAAATTTCATACTTTTGGTGTCATTATGATCAGGAAAAAATTATCTTTTCATAAAAAATAATTTTTTTTTCTTTGAAATTTGGGCGACCCTGAGAACATGTCTCTGAGAGGGCCTGTCGGCCCTGAAAGAGTTAAAAATGGGAACTACCTTTGCCATCTTCCATATGTCAGGTAGTTGCCCAGTTTCAAGGGATGGGTTGAAGATTGTGGTTAGTGGCACACACAGCATTTATGCTCCCTCTCTAAGAATGCATGGGGAGATGTCCAGTCCTATTGCCTTTGAGGTATCAAGGTCCCTTAGCAGCTTCACCTCCTCAGTTGTGTGTATGTCATCCAACACTTGTTGGTACGTATATTCCTTGTTGGTGTCCCCCTCTGTTCTCTCCTTCCAGAGGCCTTCCTGTCTCCGCTGTAAATACTTCCTTAAATTTCATGTTGAGCTCCTCACATACCTCTTGATCGTTTCTTGTGAGTGTCCCACCTTCTTTCCTCAGCCTGATCACCTGGTCTTTGTTGTCTTCTTCCTAATATGGCTATACAGCATTTTCAGGTCATACTTGACTTTCGATGCTATGTCGTTTTCGTACTGTCGCTGAGCCTCCCTCCTTATCTGTGCATGCTTGTTTCTGGCTCTTCAACTAATCTCTTTATTTTCCTGGGTCCTTTGCCTCCTGTACGTTTTCCATTCTCTGGTGCACTTAGTTTTTGCCTCCCTACACATTTGGGTAAACCAAGGACTCACTTTGGTCTTCCCATTATTTCTATTGCCCTTGGGAACAAACCTTTCCTCTGCTTCCTTGCATTTTGTTGTTATGTATTTCATCATCTCGTTTACCAACTTTCCTACCAGTTCTCTTTCCCACTGAACCTTCTGCAGGAAGTTCCTCATACCTGTGTAGTCCCCCCTTTTGTAGTTTGGCTTTTCCCATTCAATTCCTGGTACCCTCTCCACCTGTAACTCTACTATATAGTCAAAACTTAGAACCATGTGATCACTAGCTCCAAGGGGCCTCTCATAAGTGATATCCTCAATGTCTGAACTACTCAGGGTGAACACAAGATCCAGTCTTGCTGGTTCATCCTCCCCTCTCTCTGGTAGTGTCCCAGACATGTTGATGCATGAGGTTTTCCAGTACTACATCCATCACCTTGGCTCTCCATGTTTTGGGACCCCCATGTGGCTCCAGGTTTTTCCAGTTGATCTCCCTGTGGTTGAAATCACCCACAACCAGTAACTTTGCTCTGCTCGAGTGAGCTCTTCTTGCCACCTCAGCCACTGTGTCCACCATCGCTCTGTTGTTCTCTTCGTATTCCTCTCTTGGCCTCCTGCAGTTCTGTGGTGGGTTATACATCACTCAGTGACTATGTTCCCCAGACTGAATTGTACCTACTATGTAGTCCCTTTCTCCAATCTCATCCATGCCTTCCATTTCCTCAAATCCCCATTAGTTTTTTATGAGCAGTGCAACCCCTCCTTCCCCTCTATTCCTCCTATCATTCCTCAGGATCTGATATCCCAGTGGGCAGATTGCATCTGTTATTGTCTCAGTGAGTTGTATTTCTGTGACTGCTATGATGTCTGGGGATTTCTCATTGATTCTTTCATGCCACTCCTTATATTTATTCGTTATTCCGTCTACATTCGTTTACCAAACCTTCAGCTTCTTTTCTATCACTGTGGTCCTGGGAGAATATTGGGGTTGGGAGAGTGGGAGCCCTGGTGGGGGCCTATGGGGGGTTGTGGCATGGGAGGGGGGTGGGGTCAGTGCCCATAGGGGGACAGCTGTAGGGGTGAGGTGTGTCATGTGGGGGTTGGGTCAGAGGGAACTGTACTCACCTAATTGTGGTTGCAGGGGTCGAGACTCAGCTCCTGGCCCCGCCTCTTCACTGATCGCTACTGAGTCCTCTCTCTCTCTGCTTCCTGAGCTTTGTCATACCTCTTCTTAAAACTATGTATGGTTCCTGCCTCCACTACTTCACTTGCTAGGCTATTCCACTTGCTGACAACTCTATGACTGAAGAAATACTTCCTAACGTCCCTGTGACTCGTCTGAGTCTTCAGCTTCCAGTTGTGACCCCTTGTCCCTGTGTCCCCTCTCTGGAACATCCTATCTCTGTCCACCTTGTCTATTCCCCGCAGTATCTTGTATGTCGTTATCATGTCTCCCCTGACCCTTCTGTCCTCCGGTGTCGTCAGTCCGATTTCCCTTAACCTTTCCTCATACGACATTCCCTTGAGCTCTGGGACTAGCCTTGTTGCAAACCTTTGTACTTTCTCTAACTTCTTGACGTGCTTGACCAGGTGTGGGTTCCAGACTGGTGCTGCATACTGTGTGTGTGTGTGTGTGTGTGTGTGTAGGTGTGTGTGTGTGTAGGTGTGTGTGTGTAGGTGTGTGTGTGTGTGTAGGTGTGTGTGTGTGTGTATGTGTGTGTGTGTGTATGTGTGTGTGTGTGTGTACTCAATTGTTGTAGGGTCATGGCTCCTGGCCCCTGCCTCTTCACTGGTCACTACTAGGTCACACTCCCCCTTCTCCATGATCTTTATCATACCTCTTCTTAAAGCTATATATGGTTCCTGCCTCCACTACATCACTTTCCAGATTATTCCACTTCCTTACAACTCTATGATGGAAGAAGTACTTCCTAACATCCCTGCGACTAGTCTAAATCTTTAACCTCCAATTGTTTGAGGCATGATAAAGCCCACACAGTAGGTTTCAAGTTACAAAAGATGTGTTTTTGACTTGATAAAACCCACTGTGTGTACTAAACACAGTCAATAAAGGATCACATTATACTGTATTTTGTTTATTTTTCCATCAGTTTACACACATTTTTTATTACATCTTGTTTTCAGGAATGTAAGTACCATGTTATCCAATAGTCAAATGTATATGAAAATAAATGTTTGATGTGATTGATAATTGTTAAAAAATTTCACTCATGATTTGTATTGTCCTATTTCTGACAAGGAATATTGTACTGGCTAGTGAAATTTTTTATTCTCTTTGTTCTAGTGTAGTGTCCAATGCATTTGATCACTGGCCTCTTTGTTTGACTGCAGGCAGACTCTGGCGCCCAGCAACTAGACTGAGGCAGTGATTTTCTGGCAGTTGAAATATACAGTGTGCATTTTTCCAGATAATGTTGTAAACTGAATAATAGATTGTCAGACACTTGATTGTCTGCTGTTTATGATAAACTTTATGATAAGGAAACCTTACTAAGTTTAATTTTCATAGATAAGCTCAAAAATTATCCATTTCAGGAAACCGTGAGACAGTGGAAACTTGTATTTTGGATAGCTGGTATAGTGTACTTTGTGGGCAACACATTTTACATTATATTTATCTCTGGAGAACAGCAACATTGGAATGATCTTGAGAAATCAAATGGTAAGTATAATGATCTCTAATACTCTGTTCATAATTTATTTTATTTTTATAAAAATGATTCAGGGAAGCCTTCCCATTCTAAGACTATAGTGCTAGAGGTAGAAAGGGGCATGGGTTACACTAGTTTAGTAGGATATAGCCAGTGAGGTAAAAAAAAGTTATACACACTACTTATTATTTAATGAATTTTGGAAATATGGCCTCTTTAACCCTTTGAGGGTGGCTCCTGTTGTATTACAGCTTCGAAGCCTTGTTCTACATGATGAGCTCAGTTCTCTCAGATAAGATATGAGTGGTAAATTTGGGCCTAGATATGAGAGAATGGGTTTATGCAGCAAGCGTGCACCATATATAAAAAAAATTCCTGCAGCACACAGTGCATAATGAGAAAAGATGCAATCGTTTTTCTGGTTTAAAACAGTGACTTTGCGATGTATTTTCGCATGGTTTTTATGGTTGTAATTTTGGTTTCTTGGTCTCCTTTGATAGAATGGAAGATGTGTTACAAAAATAGAGATGAGTTTGATTGGTTTCATATTGAAAGTAGCTTGAAATTGAGCTCAAAATATCGGCAGTGTTTGATTTTTGCCAATATTCCAGAGTACACAGATTACATCACTTGTCCAATACGTCCATCTGGTCAGTCTAATACACGTTCATAAATGCGCTGATATTATTTTCCCATTTGTGTCTGTCTGCAGGAACCATAATTGTGCTCTGCTGTTTTCTGTCCTGTCTAAGGCTATATCTTATTACATTCATCAGATCCTCTTCCTGATGGAACTTTTAATGAAAGTGCACTTCTCGTGTGCCACGATATACCACATTCTCGGTCCTTGCCCATATTTCGCTGCAGCCCACATCTACTTGGACAGGTGGCATACAGTCTGCTCTTTATGTCTCCTTCTCAGCCATTATCTATTTTGGATGTGACATCTCTTGATTTTTTCCCTACCTCTTCCTCTCCTCTTATTAGATTTTCATGCTCATCATTTCCTTTGGGGAGTGTTACACTGTGACTCTTGTGGTAATCAGGCAAGAGGCTCTTTTCATTTCTCTTCCCTTCCATGTTTTAAATACAGGTACTCCCGCTTATTTTGACCCTCGCACTCAAATTCTCTCTTGCATAGATCTCTCAATTTGCTCAACTGCACTTGACTTTATCTGGTCTGTGCTACCTGATTTACACAACAGCCATCATTCCTATTCTACTTCCCGTACAATATTATTCTCGATCTCCTTGCAATTTAGAGGAGCGAATTGACCCACTTACTTATGTCATACTGTTTTTAGTAAAGAACCTTGTCCTTTGTCCTCAGTGACTGAGCTATTACAACTATTTTTGCCCTTAGTTTTAACCTCAGCCTTGAATACAATCTCTCAACCTTAGGTAGGCACCCTCAGAAATGCATGCCATGGTGGTCTCCTACTTATGCTTGTGCAGTGTTTGAAACATGCTGCATGGGGCTGATATCATTGTAATAGGACTACAGAGTGACTCCTTGATCTTAAGTGGGCGACGGCTGTTAGCCAATATGTCACCCGAGAAGCTAAATGCACTTGTTGGCAGAATTGTTTCTATGGTCACTTCGGCTTCCTCTATGAGTGCAGTTTGGAGAAAAGTACATAAATTGAGTGCAAATACTCTCCAGACCCATTTCTGGTTCTTAGGGTTGCCGGTATCAACAAAATTAGAATATTTCCACTACGCACTCAGTTTCAAGCTACATACTTTCAGGTCTGAAACTAGTAAAAATCTCTATTTATGTAATACATTTTCCATTGTCAAATGAGACCAAGGATACAACCATAAATACCATATGAAAATAAACTACAAAGTTACTGTTTTAAACCAAAAACACTGTTGCAGTTTTTCCCCATCATCTAAGTAGGCAAATTAGATCTAACAAAAAAGATCCCAAATGGACGAACAATAGATTAAAACATCTCATTGGTCAAAAGAGGCATATATAGGCCTATCACAGAGGGGATGGGCAGTTAAGAAATCAATATATTCAGTTAGAGAAATAAAAAAAAAAAGGAATAAGAAAAGCAAAAAGGGATTATGAGGCTAAAGTCACAAGGGATTCGAAGACTAACCCAAAAGGGTTCTTTCAGGTATACAGAAGCAAGATTAGGGATAAGATAGGCCCACTTAAGAGTAACTCAGGTTAGATCACTGACACTGATAAGGAAATGTGTGAAATTTTCAGCACTTACTTCCTCTGTTTTTACTTGGGAAGATACTAGCGAAATTCCAGAAATAATAAATTATGTAGAACAGGATGATGATAAACTATGCACGTTTGGGGTAACTAGTGACATGGTTCTCAGACAAGTAGAGAAATTTAAACCTAACAAATCCCCAGGCCCTGATGAATTGTTTGCAAGGGTTTTAAAGGAATGTAAAGAGGAATTTAGCAAACCTTTGGCTAATCTTTTCAATATATCACTACAAACTGGCATAGTGCCAGACAAGTGGAAAATGGCAAATGTAATACAGTACCTGTTTACAAGGCAGGTGACAGGTCCTTAGCTTCGAACTATAGACCAATAAGCCTTACCTACATAGTGGGAAAATTTATGGAAAAAATAATTGCCGAGGCAGTTCGTAGCTATCTCGAAAGGCATAAATTGATTAATGAATCTCAACATGGTTTTAGAAAGGGGCATCACTGTCTTATGAATTTACTAACTTTTTTCACTAAGGTATTTGAGAAGGTAGATCATGGTATTGAATATGATAGTGTATATGGACTTCAGTAAGGCTTTTGATAGAGTTCTACATCTGAGGCTATTGAGGAAACTTAAGGCACACAGAATAGGAGAAATTTTTTCCTGGGTAGAGGCATGGTTGAAACATAGGCAGCAGAGAGTTTGCATAAATGGGGAGAAATCAGAATGGGGGCACGTCACAAGTGGTGTTCCACAGGGGTCATTATTATTATTATAATTAAAAAGAAGCGCTAAGCCACAAGGACTATACAGCATCCACAGGGGTCAGTGTTGGGCTCGTTGTTGTTCACAATTTACATAAACGAAATAGATGAGGGAATAAATAGCGACATAAGCAAATTTGCCGATGACACCAAAATAGGCTGTCCAATTCATTCTAATGAGGACATTAGAGCACTCCAGGATGATTTGAATAGACTGATGTAGTGGTCAGAGAAGTGGCAGATGCAGTTTAATACAGACAAATGCAAAGTTCTAAATGTTGGACAGGAAAATAACCATGCCACATATAAACTAAATAATGTATATCTTAATATTACTGATTGCAAAAAGGATTTAAGAGTTCTGGTTAGCAGTAATCTGAAACCAAGATAACAGTACATAAGTGTTTGCAATAAAGCTAACAGAATCCTTGGCTTCATATCAAGAAGTATAAATAATAGAAGTCCTCAGGTTATTCTTCAACTCTATACAGTGGACCCCCGCTTAACGATCACCTCCCAATGCGACCAATTATGTAAGTGTATTTATGTAAGTGCGTTTGTACGTGTATGTTTGGGGGTCTGAAATGGACTAATCTACTTCACAATATTCCTTATGGGAACAAATTCGGTCAGTACTGGCACCTGAACATACTTCTGGAATGAAAAAATATCGTTAAACGGGGGTCCACTGTATATCCTTGGTTAGGCCTCAGCTAGATTGTTTCACAGTTTAATCACCGTATTTCAGAATGGATATAAATGCTATGGAAAACTTACAAAGGAGGATGGCAAAGTTGATCCCATGTATCAGAAATCATCCCTGTGAGGATAGACTGAGGGCCCTGAATTAGGAATACGATTGAGGTGTACAAATGGAAAACAGGAATAAATTTAATGGAATGTAAATAGGGTGTTAAAAATATCTAGCCTAGACAGAACTGACAGCAGCGGCTTTAAGTTAGAAAAATTCAGATTCAAGAAGGATATAGGAAAACACTGGTTTGGTAATGGAGTTGTGGACGAGTGGAGCAAACTCCCGAGTAGTTATAGAGGCTAAAACATTGTGTAGTTTTAAAAATAGGTTAGATAAATACGTGAGTGGGTGCGAGTTAAACCTGACTAGCTTGTGCTACTAGGTCAGATGTCACACTCCTTCCTTAAGTGTATGTGACCTGACCTGACTAGGTTAGGGCATTGGCTTAAGCCAGTAGGAGACTTGAACCTGCCTCACATGGGTCAGTAGGCCTGCTGCAATGTTCCTTCTCTCTTATGTTTTTATATGGTGCACAATCACCGGTAAACCCATTCTCTCATATCTAGGCCAAAATTTACCACTCTCAGCCAGTGGCAGCTCATAGCTAAAATTAGTGGTGCTCCTGCTTCAGAAAATTTTTAGCCATTGTTTTCATATTGTGTAAAACAAAACAAGCATATAAAAATAAAATTTATGCATTAGCTTGATAAAATCATAAACAATAAAATATTTTTTACTTCCCTAAATTGTTACAGCTCAGGCTTGATCCATTCATTTAAAAATGAAAGCAGTTCTTGTTCTGCTTTGTGTGAAAAGATTAATAATTTTCTCCTTGATCTCTTGATGACTGACTTTTTCCATTGGTACCATTCAGAATTAAAGCTACGAATATACTTCTTATTCCTGGACAAGATATTTGAATATCAGGTATTGAACGGCCTCTTTTCTTGACTAATTTTCTCATGGAGAGAGAACTGTGAAAACTTAAGCTGTTAAAGTTCATTTACAGTCACAGAACTTATTTCTTGGGGATGCAAGGCCATGAATATTATTACAGTGGACCCCCGGTTAACGAACTTTTTTCATTCCAGTAGTATGTTCAGGTGCCAGTACTGACCGAATTTTTTCCCATAAGGAATATTGTGAAGTAGATTAGTCCATTTCAGACCCCCAAACATACACGTACAAACGCACTTACATAAATACACTTACATAATTGGTCGCATTTGGAGGTGATCGTTAAGCGGGGGTCCACTGTATTATTATTATTATTATAATCAAAAAGAAGCGCTAAGCCACAAGGGCTATACAGCGCTGCAAGGCCATGAATAAATTATTTAAATTTTCTGTAAAATAAAAGAACTGAACAAACTGAATTAAATAGAATAGCTGGAAGCATGATAATCGTTTAATTCTACACTTTATCACATTCAAGAATATGGTATGTACATGGTTAAGCACAACACGTCGCCGAGTAAAAAAGAAACGCTACCTTACACTTGCATAACAGGGTCGGCACTGCGTCAGCGTTCTCTCTACCTAGCGTGCAGCGTCTTACCTTGGACATGTAAGCATGCACACGACAGCCAAACATAGTCGCTGGAACTGTGAAGCGCAGTTCCATACAAGGATTTTGGAAATTTTTTCATGTACTAGGGGATGGCTACTGACATTAAGCTAAAGAATTAAAGAAAAAAAAATCATTATACAGGTCCACATTCCTTTATCCAAAACCCTTGGGGCCAGTAGTGTTTCGAATTTCTGAATGAAGGTGGAGTCTTGGGCAGCACCCCATAATTAAACATTAACACTGCAGCAAAAAATGTATGAATACTCACACTAAGTGGGATGAATAAAGACTACAAATACTTTTATGGTTTATTTATATTATTATTATTATAATTAAGGGGGAAGCGCTAAACCCGGAGGATTATACAGCGCCTGGGGGGGGGATGTGGAAGGCATTCAGGCTTAATTCGGGGAACTGGAGCACGGATCCAATTCCCTAAATCAAGAGCCCCTCACCAACATCAAGGAACCTTCCTTGAGGGGGGTTTATTTATAGATCAAGAACATGATTCTCAAGATGATTGACAAATGGTGTTAAGGACTTCCAGTGTCATTTGTCTTATTAACATTGGTTTCTGTCTAAGCAATCTCTGAGTAAATTGCCATAATCTCTTGCTCACTGATAAATGCAGGTTGTTCAAGGCCAGCGGTTAACTGATCACGCATTTTCACCATATCGTCTATGAAGACTTTTTTACCTGTGTTCACAATGTCATCACTACTCCCATGCTTGTTTGTATTTAACACCATTTCAGCAATTTCACCATCACTCAAGGAATGCACAACAGGTGCATCAGTGTTCAGCATTTCTTCGATGTCAGCTTGCTGTAATTCCATTAGCACACAGTCAAGATCTTTGTTTTTTTGCCCTATGCAGTGTTTTCCTATTTTTCATTACTGTCATTATTATTATTATAATCAAAAAGAAGCGCTAAGCCACAAGGACTATACAGCGATTACTGTCATTATATTACTTCAGTAACTTCTTTGTTTCTTTAAATCATAAACAGTGGTAGTTCCAACACCATATTCTTCAATAAGACACTGCACTGACACCATGATCAATTATTTATTATAATCAAGGGGGAAGTGCTAAACCCGGAAGATTATACAGCACCTGGGGGGGGGATGTGGAAGGCATTCAGGTTTAATTCGGGGAACTGGAGCACAGATCCAATTCGCTAAATCAAGAGCCCCTCACCAACATCAAGGAACCTTCCTTGAGGGGCTGGTGGCTAAAGCTCTTGCTTCACATGGCGAGAGTCTGGGTTCGATTCCCAGCCGGGATAGAAACGGTGGGCATGTTTCTTTACACCCGTTGTCTATGTTCACCCATCAGTAAAATGGGTACTTGGATGTTAGTCAACTGGTGTGGGTCACATCCTGGGACACTGACCTAATTTGCCCGAAGTGCTCAGCATAACACGTGTCTTTCTATATAGTAGTACAGTGGTCCCTCGCTTTTCGTAGTTCTAGGCAATCGTAAATTTCACCAATCATAGGGGTATTTTCGTATAGACATGGACTCGCTTTTCATAGGTTGACTCGCGAATAGTAGTTCGTCCGGGACGCGTATGCACGGTGTGAGCCGGGGCGGCCTCCCTACCCAGCCAGTCTGGCATTATTTACCAGTGAGTGAAGGTCCCCTCAAGTGCTCCTATGAAATATTTCATAATATTCCACTCATTTTAGTGCTTGCAAGTACTAAATAAGCTACCATGGCTCCAAAGAAAGCTCCTAGTGCCAAGCCTGTGGTAAAGAAGGTGAGAAATATGTACAGTGACAAAGTCTTGGGCCATTTTCAGGAAGTGTTAAAGAGATGCCAGAAACAGAGTTCTCTCCACAGTTACTTTGCGAGACAGGACTAGAGCGACTCTCAAGGTGGTCCTAGTGGCATTAAGAAGCAACCCCAGAGAAGCAATTGGTACCTGAAGTGTTGCTGGAAGGGGATTCCCCTTCCAAACTGTAAACAATCCAATCTCTCTCCTCCAGTCTCCCATACACTAAGAAGAATCTCCAATAAAGGTAAGTGTTATGCTGTTAATGTTTCATTCATCATTTCCCAGTGTATTGTTTATGTACTACATGTATATGTATATTTCATGTAAAAAAAAATTTTCGTTTTAATACTTCTGGGTGTCAGGAACGGATTAATTGTATTTACATTATTTCTTATGGGGAAAATTGATTCGCAAATCGTAAATTTCGTTTATAGTAACGGCTCCAGGAACGGATTAATTACAAAAAACGAGGGACCACTGTATGTCATCGATGTCAGCTAGGCCTGTATACCATGTACATGTACTTGTAGTAAATAAAGATATTATTATTAAATGCTTCCTTTTTTTTTTGTTACCCATAGGGGTATCTGCAGCTCTTTTTGACATTTTCACAGTGAAATTAGTCACAAAATAAAAAGCAAAAACAAAATATCAGCAAACAGCAGACACACGTGTGAATGCTACAAGCACTGAGACAAGTGGCGGCGTTGGAGTTATGTAGAGATGACTGATGCTCCACACTCCACAAAAAAACTTCGGTTTTCAGAACTTTTCGAATTTCGGATAAAGGATGTGGACCTGTATTGAATTTTTGATAATATAGAGTGAAAATACGGGGTGCTGCAGTTTCGCAGTGCCTATACACAAGCTGCCACTGCTCGCAGCTTATCTGAGTGAGATGAGCTAATCACTTAGATATTATTATAATCAAAAAGAAGTGCTAAGCCAGCTAATCACTTAGAACTACAACAAAGACCTGCACTTCAGAGCCATAGCTCTACGGCACCCACCCACAGAGAGTTGTTTCCTTGTTTGCAGCTTTTGCACTTTCACCCCATCCACGGTGTAGGTGATGTCTTCCTTCCCTCCATGGCAGTGAGAAATTATTTGGTATACTAGTTGAATACACGTATTTCGTTTCCGAGATTCTGAAAGCTTCAAAATCTAAAACTTTTTCCAAGCACTGACATGCCACAAATGAAAAATTCCAGTCAGCTCTGGGGAGGTTCCTAGGTGTTGTGCAGGTCTCTATTGACAGTTGCAACACGAGACCTCACATACCATGCCAAGCAGTCAACACTTTTAGTTGTGAAAGTAATCAGTGACCACAAATGACAATTACAGTTTAAGTTTTTGAAATGTTCTGGCTTCATAAAATGCAATGTTGATTTTTAAGAGATAATATATATCAGTAGTATTTTCCATTGGTAATTCATATAAACTAATATTTAACAGGTTACTCAAGAAAAACCGAGGCAGTGCACACTGGACAATATGGCTCCTTTAACCCTCAAGATGCTTCCTCAGCCTCTGGACAAACCTCTAGTGCTGGACCTGCATCACCAACAAATTTTCCTGAAATATTTTAGTTCCATATTCATATTGCTTTCCGATTTCTCATAAAAGATTGAAATATCTGTTTTTTGATTAGACATTTTTGAACTTTTTAATTGTAAAATATGATTTAATACAGCCTCTCCTCACTTGCTCAGACTTGTGACCAGCTCTCTGTCCAACATTCAAACCTAAGTAATCTATATTAGAGCTTATTTCCTCTATTCTGTTTATTACATTGTACATTACAGTATATACATATAAAAATATACTAAAAATGTCATAAATGGCACAAAAGTGAAATTAGATATTTTTTAAAGATGGTAGACACACATCCACTACCAGTACAGTATGCTCCTCACTTACAGCTTTCACTGTTGCAACCCCTGCTTGCAAACTTGCTCTGTGTCGAAGAATTAAAAAAAATATTTTTTATGAAGGAAAGTGGGTGCAGGAGGGAAGAGGAGCGATTGGTGGAATGATGATGTAAAGAGAGTAGTAAGGGAGAAAAAGTTAGCATATGAGAAGTTTTTACAAAGTAGAAGTGATGCAAGGAGGGAAGAGTATATGGAGAAAAAGAGAGAAGTTAAGAGAGTGGTGAAGCAATGTAAAAAGAGAGCAAATGAGAGAGTGGGTGAGATGTTATCAACAAATTTTGTTGAAAATAAGAAAAAGTTTTGGAGTGAGATTAACAAGTTAAGAAAGCCTAGAGAACAAATGGATTTGTCAGTTAAAAATAGGAGAGGAGAGTTATTAAATGGAGAGTTAGAGGTATTGGGAAGATGGAAGGAATATTTTGAGGAATTGTTAAATGTTGATGAAGATAGGGAAGCTGTGATTTCGTGTATAGGGCAAGGAGGAATAACATCTTGTAGGAGTGAGGAAGAGCCAGTTGTGAGTGTGGGGGAAGTTCGTGAGGCAGTAGGTAAAATGAAAGGGGGTAAGGCAGCCGGGATTGATGGGATAAAGATAGAAATGTTAAAAGCAGGTGGGGATATAGTTTTGGAGTGGTTGGTGCAATTATTTAATAAATGTATGGAAGAAGGTAAGGTACCTAGGGATTGGCAGAGAGCATGCATAGTTCCTTTGTATAAAGGCAAAGGGGATAAAAGAGAGTGCAAAAATTATAGGGGGATAAGTCTGTTGAGTGTACCTGGTAAAGTGTATGGTAGAGTTATAATTGAAAGAATTAAGAGTAAGACGGAGAATAGGATAGCAGATGAACAAGGAGGCTTTAGGAAAGGTAGGGGGTGTGTGGACCAGGTGTTTACAGTGAAACATATAAGTGAACAGTATTTAGATAAGGCTAAAGAGGTCTTTGTGGCATTTATGGATTTGGAAAAGGCGTATGATAGGGTGGATAGGGGGGCAATGTGGCAGATGTTGCAAGTGTATGGTGTAGGAGGTAGGTTACTGAAAGCAGTGAAGAGTTTTTACGAGGATAGTGAGGCTCAAGTTAGAGTATGTAGGAAAGAGGGAAATTTTTTCCCAGTAAAAGTAGGCCTTAGACAAGGATGTGTGATGTCACCGTGGTTGTTTAATATATTTATAGATGGGGTTGTAAGAGAAGTAAATGCGAGGGTCTTGGCAAGAGGCGTGGAGTTAAAAGATAAAGAATCACACACAAAGTGGGAGTTGTCACAGCTGCTCTTTGCTGATGACACTGTGCTCTTGGGAGATTCTGAAGAGAAGTTGCAGAGATTGGTGGATGAATTTGGTAGGGTGTGCAAAAGAAGAAAATTAAAGGTGAATACAGGAAAGAGTAAGGTTATGAGGATAACAAAAAGATTAGGTGATGAAAGATTGAATATCAGATTGGAGGGAGAGAGTATGGAGGAGGTGAACGTATTCAGATATTTGGGAGTGGACGTGTCAGCAGATGGGTCTATGAAAGATGAGGTGAATCATAGAATTGATGAGGGAAAAAGAGTGAGTGGTGC